TGGCAGTAAAATATTTCTATACAAAGATCCCATTTGAAGCTTTTGGATGCCTTCCCAACAGTCCTGCAATAAATCTGATATTTTAAAGTTCAGTTTTTGTTGAAACTGTTTATGTTGAGAGGTGTTTCTGTCCTCATTATTACACAGAGGGCGGATAAAATTATAGAAACATCTGTCAGTATAATGCAACACAGTTCAACAGTTCAACAAACTGCATCCTCTGAAATGAATCATGAATGAATCACACTGTTGAATCAACACCTCTCTCAACTGTTTTAACAAAAACCTAACACTGTAACCTTCAGGATTTATTGCAGGACGGTTGTACATTAGACTGCATTAGTTTTAAGCAAAGTGGACTTAATAATCTGGTAATTTAGACTGCAAGCTAGTTGCCAGATTAATACAGAAGGTGTTAGCCGTAGACTGTATAATTAAAAATGAATGTAGTCTCCGTTATGAGACCGTTATAAGTTTCTGAAGAGTCCTGCTAATCCAAAATGGGTGCAGCCATTCCATTAATTATGCATAATTTTAATATGATTTAAACTGCTGAGTTCTATAAAAATTACAGTTGTCACAAACGGGGAAATTTGCTATAGAGGCCAAAAAGTTGTATTGTGTTTATTTCTGCTGTAAAGTCAGACATTTTAATATGGGGCCTGATGGAGATCGACTCACTGCTGGAGCCAGCCTCAAGTGGCCATTAAAGGAACTGCAGCTACTTAGTGGCTTCATTAGTCAGCCACGGAGGTTGCCGCTAGGCGAGTCTACAGGTACGGTAGCAGATTCACCTGTATGTGTTCATTAGCGTATAATCTCCTGAAAATAAGAATCGTTATGTTTTTGTTACATTAGAATGAGTCATGTTTCTACAGGAGCCCAGAACTGACAAACCAAACGCTGGCTCTAGATGGGGGGTTTTACAGCCACCGTAGTTTCTCCTACATGCCTAGAAGTGGAGGTTGAAGCGAGGGAGCTGCTATCTGCAACTATAGCGCCAGACGCCACTAAATCCTGATGCAGCTACTGTAACAATAAAAACTGATTGAGAGAAAGAATAAACACATATCAGAAACACAAGGACAAAAGGAATAAACTAGAGACAGATTTAGTGCCTTTCCTATCGCTCTCCTGGCTGTGAACGTGTGATGTGTCCTTCAAAGACAGATGATGATTAAACTCGAGCCTGGTTCTAAATCTATGGAGCGTCCAGGCCAGCAACGCACAGATGCAGCCGGCGATGATGTGCTTCAGTTGAGAGAGAAAAAAAAAAAAAGAGGGGCTTATATACGAGCCGCCGCTGCAGGCTGCTCCCTGGGAAAAAAGGGCAACTCCTACCACACAAACAGACACAGACTTTGTCTATCTTTGTCTGTCTCTGAGCTCTCTTTAAGGCCTGCTCCTGCTGCCAACAGTGATCAGACAGTGTGATCCTTCTGCTGCTGCTTCGACACACACATTTTTACAGAAAGCCAATTATCCACACTCCCTGCTCCAAACCAATCATGTGCAAACAGGCTGCAACCCCCATATGTAGCCTGTAGCTCACATCCAAAACTGCCAATTCTCTAACTTAATTCTGGATCTTTGTCAGATTCCTCTCGACGCACAATCTCACACACACACACACACACACACACACACACACACACACACACACACACACACACGTACACTCGTCCTCCACCCCTCTGTTTCATCAGACTCTGCCTCTGTAGCAGCAGCAGAACCAGCAGTCCTGCCGGTTGCCATGGCAACACTTCCTCCTACCCTGAGTGTGTGTGTGTGTGTGTGTGTGTGTGTGTGTGTGTGTGTGTGTGTGTGCAGTCGGCAGGGCTAGTCTCACTACTTGAGTGGATCCACAGTGTGCATGTGTAACAGTGTGAATACACAATGAATGAATACATAAAACACACACGTTCTCTCACTCGCTCGCTCACTCCCGCTGGCTGACACTCGCTCTTTCTTTGAGCAAACATGTTTGTGAAAGACGTGCACTGTTGTACGCTGCAGCGGTCGACACACATACACACACACACACACACACACGGCGTAGAGGGAAAAAAAGCAGCAATGGCAACTCAACAATCCCGAATTTTAAAATGCAACATGATTGTGTTTTATGGTGGAATTTAAACTGAATGCCTGACAGAGACAAAGACAAGAGTGAGAGGGAAGGGTAAAAAAAAACAACCCTTTTAGTGGCAGAACATGTAGTGGGTGGAATATCAAAGACCGGATTAGAAATGTCCTTGATTGGCTGTGGATCCACACTTCCCTTTTTGACGTGGGTGAACAGATATCGCCTCATGTCTTTCCCTGTTCTCCAACAGCTTCATGGAAATAAAGCTGAAAATCAAGAGGAGCAGCGCATCCATGATCATGCCACAAGCTCCTCTCCCCCTCGGCTTCATTATGAGATTTAAACCCATGCTGGGAACGCTGCTTAAGTGTGTGTGTGTGTGTGTGTGTGAGTGCAGAGATTACCCCTCCAGCGGTGTGAAATCTGCCCGCGCTCTGAGGGGAATTAGATTAAGACTGTCCGAGATGATTCTATTGTTGGTTCTCAGATCAAAGAACTTCATCTGTCATCAATTTGTAGTCGCACATGGCTTGGGGGAAAATGTCTTTCAAGCACGTGACAGTATTATAGCCTGTAAACGTGTCCTGTGTGGCGTTCTTTGAGAGGATCAACCCCACCCAACCCCACCCACACTCACATTTAAATGGATGCCTGTGCACAGATGAAAAGGGTGACACACTGTTTGGCAGCGAACAGGAGAGTCTTGTTGTCATGGATGTAAGTGAACATGCAGGATGGATTTAGAGCTGAAGAGGTGACAGTGATGTGATGTGTGTGCGTTTGTGACCTCCTACCTTCCTCCTCACTGGAGTCTCTCTGTATGTAGACAGGAGGCGCTGTGGAGGATGACCCCGCTGCCCCCGAACTGCTCTTTGTGAAAATGCCACTGATGAACTTGAGCATCTTCCTGTCTTTGGCGGAGCCTCGCTGGCCCTGCTGCGCCTGCTGGGCTTCCCTGGCCAGCCCCAGGTCTTCAGAGAGGCTGTTCAGGTCACTGTTATCCAGCGTGCGGCTTTTACCTTTGCGTGCCGGTTTGGAGGCCTGTGTAGGGGGCGCCGGTAGGGAGGCCGAACCTGTCTTTAGTCTGTCCTTCCTGGGCATGTCTCTCATCACTGCAGCCATGCCACCTCCAATCTCCAGAGGTATTCCAGCTTGGGCCTCATCCCGCAGGTCCCTCCACCCATCGGGCCTGCTCGCCTCGGCCCACGAGGCCCTGCAGGGGCCCGGTGAGCGCGTCGGCATGCGACAGTCCTTGCGGTCGAGGCTCTGTGCCGAGGTAGGGCTGCGCTCTCTACCCTCCCTGGTGTCGCGACCGCGGGTGGCCGCACTGCTGTGGGACTTCAGCAGACTCACAGGACGCTGGCCCACTGGGCGGATAGGGAGGCTGGTCCTGGTTGGGGTGCGGCTGGGCTCGATCACCTCTGTCGGGGGTGTTGTGGTCAGTGATGGGGACGTGCATTGCTTTGCCTCTGGGGTGGGAAGTGTCTTCTCGACTCGTGTTGAATCGATCTCTGCAGACTTCTGAATCGTCACTCTCTCAGCAGGTAAGGGGATTGAGAGGTTGCACGGTGGCTTCTCGCTCGCTGGACTCGGGACAACAGCAGTGGAGGGCGGTTTATCTTTCAGGGGACTGAGGGGTTTTCTTTCTCCATCTTTGAGTTCATTAATTAGCTCCCCCTCTTTCAAAATAGCAGCATCCTCGGCCCTTTGTGTTTGTCCTAAATCCACTCCGGCTCCATTCTCAGTCTGGGCAGGAGCTTCACCTTCAGCCTCCACTCCCGCCCTGGCCTCGTCTCCTCCTGGCCCGGCCTCCACCTCCTTCCCCTGGGCACTCTTCTTGGCCTCCCCTCCATTCTCCTCCACAGCCTCTACCTTGACCAGGGTGAGGGAGATGAGGTAGGTGGTGCGTTGCTGCAGGGCGCCGCCTCCGCTCATGTGGTCAGGCTTCAGTAGACACACAGTAGATGAATGAAACCAGACAGAGCGAGATGAGCAACTGACAGTTTGCCAGCGTGTTGGGATGTGAAAGAATCTGACAGCGCGACTGTGACAAAAAACTTACATGGAGGGAGATTAAGTTTCTCCTTGGAAGACACAACAGCAGAGGGGCTGTTGGTTTCATCCATCCCCCAAATCCCTATTTCTTTGTTTCGGATTTTAATTTCAGTCACGGATTTCTTCTCTCACTGCAATTTTAATTTCTCTGGGACACAGAAAAGAAATCCACTCTTCAGACAACCTTCAGCACACTGACAGTGCAGTCCAATCAGCTCTTTTGTTCCTAGCAAACACCCAATTAAAACCTATCCACTGCATATGTATGCAGCCACTGAGGCAAATAAATCTTCATTATGATGTCTGATGCCTCACTCCTGATGGTAATTATTTATTTGACCTTATTTCTATGTGCAGCACCCCCATCTCATGTGTTGCTCAGTCAATCCTCTTCACTCAGAGCAAAAAAAAGAAAAAATCTTGATTCAATTCAGAATAACAACTTCCCCGCATCATACGTCATCAAGAATGTGATCAACAGCAGCTGTAACCTGAAAAGGTGAAGTCTTTAAAAATGCATCAGTGTCACCCTAAAGCAGCATGGCACTGTACACCCAGAGCTCTGTTACGCAGTCCAGTCCAGATCATGGGCTCTCACCGCAAGCCACACATGTGTGTTGACAGCAGCATCCATTCAGGGAGCGCGGCAGCAGGAAGGCGGGCAGCCTCTCGGAGACGCACAGGAAGGACATCGATGAGGGCTGAAGGGGATCAGGAGGAGAAGCCAACAGAAGCTCGGGCGGATATCTGGAGATGCATGACCGAGTCAGGGCGCGTCCGGCCATCACGCCCCTCTTGCTGTCTCCCGGGCAGCCTGTGTCCTCTGAGCGCATCAGGCGTTGAGCATGACAACAGAGCACCGGCACAGAGGAGGCGCTGAGGCGAGTCACTGCTCAAACAGCTCCCCGACTGCCTCTGAAGCCTTCCGATAGAGACACCGTCGCACAGGTCCAACGAGTCCAATCCCTCACACACACACACACACACACACACCCTCACACTCTGCGTTTCTCTCTCCTGCTCTCGCAAACACACTGATAGGAATCTCCAATGTCCCTCCCTCTACATGCCCCTCCTTGTTCCAATAGGCAATCCATACAATGCAGAAGGATCCTGCTTCTCTTCCTTCCCTCCTTTATTTTCTCTCTCTTTCTGTCTCTGCTGCTGCTCTCAGACTGTGCAGGGTCCCTGCTCTTTTATTGCTCATCTCCCCCCCAATCCCCATCCCCTCCCCTCCATCATCGTTCTCCCTGCGTGCAGGAGAGAGGAGGGGGAAGGCAGCGGGTAACGGCTGGTGGTAAAAGCAGCAGTGCACACACGAGCCGGACCTGCTAAATGAGGGGAGACCGCGGGAGGAAAGATCAGCGGCGGGGAGAGGAGAGATGGAGGGAGAGGCGAGGGTTAGTGAGGAAAAAGATGGATGCATGTTTGTGGAGGAAAAAGGACACTTGGGCAGGGTGTCTGTTCCCCGTCTCATTTATACAGCTGCCAGAACAGTTTCATCGAGATCACCCATCTGTCTTCAGCTGTCTATTTGTGTGTGTGTGTGTGTGTGTGTGTGTGTGTGTGTGTGTGTGTGTGTGTGCACAAGTGTGTGGCTCTGCGTGGCTCCTCCTCAGTAGGAGGCTTGGCTTGTTTGTTGCTAAGGTGTTACAATCTTCCTGGCTCTGGTGGCACAGTCATCTCCTCCATGTCCTTCCTCCTTCCTCCTCCTCCTCCTCCTCCTTTGGTACATTCTGTATCGCAATCGCTCCCACGATCTCTGTATCAAAATGGTGTTTCTCTCTCTCTCTGTGTGTGTGTGTGTGTGTGTGTGTGTGTGTGTGTGTGTGTGTGTGTGTGTGTGTGTGGCGTACATGTGAGTGAAAGAGATTTCCTGTGAGTGTATTGATCTGTAGTCTATTGCCTACTACGGCATGTGTTCATTAGCAGAAGTGGGGAAGCTCTGGGCTCACAGCATGAACCGAGCAATAGCATGAGAGGATGAGAGCATTATGGGACATCAATATGTGGACCGCAATGCAAAATGCAAAAAAAAAATGAAACACACACTTTTATTTCTGTGTTAATAAAACAAACACGTGTGCGATAAAATGTGATTGGTTAATTTGCATCAATGACTAAAACCTGTTTGTTTGTGCCAATGACATTGTTACTAATGCAATGATTATTGTCTCTACTGATTAATCTGTCGATTAGATTAATCAGTTAATCATTTGGTCAACAAAACATCAATTTCCTGAAGTCCATGTCATTGTGAGGTCAAAGGTCCAAAGATATTCTGGTTACTATCATTTAGGACATTTAAAGCTGCAGCAGGAAACTTTTATAAATGACTGTTTGTCATATTTACTGAAACTTGTACATGAGGTTCCTCTGGCTCGTTGTGGTTCTTCTATTCTGCATCTGCAAGAATCCACCGGGCCTGGACGGAGATAAATGACCTACTGCAGCTTTAAGAGGCTGGAATCATAAAACGTTTGGCTTTTTTCTCTTGAAAATGTTCTTAAAGGATTAACTGATATAGTCGATAGTTGCAGATTCATTTTCTGTCGATCAACTAATCGATTAATCACAGGGATGTACGATATCGATGTTTCTTTCTGCTGGGATAACCAATATTACTTACTCATGGCCAATACCGATATAATTAGCAATAATTCACATTTTTGTATTTTAAAAGAAGTTTATAACCCTTTATGCACCCCTGAGGGTGAGACAGGTGAACATCTAGTGAGTAAAGATGGTCTAATTGAGTTAAAACTCCTCAGACTCTTTAGCTTTCACAGAACATAAAGTCAATCAATCCTTTTGCAGAAGAATTGAAAATAAATTATTATAACTGACAGATAATCTATCGGCTATAATTTAGTTATCAGAATATTACATAATAATATAAATGTTCCATTATCGATCGACCCCGATGATTATCGTGCATCATTCGTCGTTTTTTTATAACGCAGGCAAAAAGAACAAGAGGAAGTGCTGCAATTATTCTGCATGCAACAACAAAAACATGATTACACATCCATCACTTGAATCATTACCGGGTCTAATTTCATGTTAATTACTCTCTGATTAAAAACTAAAAAATCCTTGATGTGAAATCAGAGGATGCCTTTCCCCACAGTGCACCACTCTCTGCCTCCCACCATCATCCCATAATGCACGATCTGACTGTCCACCTGCTCAGCCCGCTCCCCCTCCCTCCCACAGCCAGCGAGAGGGCAATAACTACTCCCACTGAATACAAAAGACCTCTGACAACCGCCTTTGGCTCAAGGGGAAAACACACGACCTGAGAGCAACGGCGACCGCAGCCCCCGACACAGAAGACGAAGAGGAGTCGTGAATAAATAAAAAGCTTAAGACAGGAAGAAGAGCTGCTTCTTGTTTTTTAAAATCCAGATACTCTTTCAGGAGGGGGAGTGATGTGTGTGAGAGGACATGACATGCCTGTGTGAGTTAAAGTGCACGTCAGGTTGCTGCAAGTGCTGCCTGGTGAATCTAATTATTTTGAAATAGACACCCACATAAAACGCAGGAAATCAGGTTGTCTTCAGACGGACAGTTTTTTAGAAAACACACACCCTCTTTCTCTCTCCCATGCATCCAGACAAAGCTCTCACCCACACACACACACATTGACACCCACGGGCGGGCGCTGTCAGATGGACACTGGCCAAGGGCAGTGGTCATGCTGGGTGATTTTTCATTTCTCCTCCACTGTGAGCTGTCCTCTCCCTCCTCAATCTCTCACTCTGCTGCTGCCATGCTGCAGTGAACGCACTCAGATTCACATTTAAATGTCTTCACTTAGCCCCACCTCACCCTTTTCTCCCTCTCTCCATCTCTTTATTATTCCTTTCTCCCAGCCTTCTCCCCGGCACGCAGCGCCTGTCGACCACATCCCACTCGTTTATTAAGTCCAAAAAGAGAGGTGGCTCTCTTTTTAGCACCAGTGAACTCTACGCCTACAGATCCGGGCCCCCGCAGAGGATTCGCTGCCTTTGATCCTCACTACAGTGTCTACGCTCCAGCAGACTAATTATGCAAAAAAAAAAAAACTTGGGCTGAATGTTTTTACATGTGGGGGGTTGCCTTTTAGAGTGTTTCAAGATCCTAAAAAGACCTCAAAGCTCACCCGAATCCATCAGGGAGCTGACTGACCTTCAGTTCACAGACAAACACTGGAGTGAGTGCAACGGGCTGATGAATAAACAGTTATGAATATTCAGTGATGTTATTCCACCCAGTCTGGCCAGTTTTGAGGTGATGTTTACTTTACTATTCACAATTTATGCTGCTTTATACATGTGTACGTACAAAACATATGATTACCTTACTAAACCTGATGACCTATTAGAGATTAAAGGCCTCACATACCCACACAGCTGTTGTGTTTATGGTACTTAAAGTCTCCCTCCACTCAAATATATGGCTTTCTTCTTGTTCTTGCTCCACTGCAGAATGATGTATGTGCCGAGTGTCTCTGAGCTCATTAAAATCTGATTTTAAGGGGCGGGGCCTACAAGGATGATTTATAATATCACAAATAGTTCAGGAAGTCAATCCTGGTCCAGTATGAAGCTGATACAGTGAGATCCACCAGTGCTCAGACACTGAGAGCGGACTTTACAGTGCAGGAGGAGACATCTTGTGTCCAGCAGGAATTTTTAATGAGGTAAAAGGAGTTTTTAAGGATTTCTAATACACCTTATTGTCCCAATCGGACTCTTAATATTATGTAAAAGTAGCTATACCCCATCAATAAAAGTATTCCACCGCAAGTCCTGAATTTATACTTGAACCGCTAGAAGGAACTTTCCTTTTGTGTTGACTCTGGCGGCCTCTGAGGACAAAAGCAGTATTTCAAGGGCACTCTGATCCAGTGGCAGGCATTAACAATAACTATATAGAACTAGCTGATCACTCTCACTGATGAGTCATGTAGATCATAAAGAACCATCATTATTAAACCGAGAGTGTTTCATAACCAGTTAAAAACTCCTTGTATTACGGGTCGGGACCGCCATTAGGGGTCACCAAGGATTCACGGTGGGGGGTGTCGCGAGGCCTTCTTGATTTTAAGGCGTGTAGGAAAATGTGAATAATATATGCAGCAGGCCTATAACTATAATTTTAAAGTTTAGATTATTATTCAAGATCTAAACTTTGAAGACCTGAAGCTGTATTCACAGAGCCTTCACGCTCTGATAAAACTAATAGAGAGCTAATAGAGCAATGGCCAAGCATCAGAGAGAATATAAAGCTGAATTTGTCAAAACAAAGAAGCCGATTAAGAGTTACAACTGTTAAAAATGAAAAAACACACAATACAGACAGAGAGTTATATAAAACTTTCCCTAAAAACATCAGAAAACTCATAAAATCATTTTACACAAACTTCCTGCAGTTATTATGTTCACTGTTTGGGTTCATTGTACAGTTTATCAGTTGTTCTCTACTGTTATTGTTACACGCTGATTATAATATGAAATATCTGTAAAAGATGTCAGTTTATTCAATGATAGAGAGGAAGTACCTTCAGGAAACGGTTGGGAACCAGTGATACAGAGGTATCAGACTGTTTCATAACCAGTTAAAAACTGTAACATGTTTAAAGTGAAAGGATCTGAATATTTCTTCGTCCTGTACACGAAACGTTCTACGCCAACAGGTTACCAGAGAACCGATAATAATTATTTTTACTGTTAATGTGACAGCAACACATTGCGTCACATTAACAAGAAACGGTGGGAAGTAGCGATATGAGGAAATGATGTCAAACTGATCAGCTTCACATGTAAAAGACCTGTTTGTCTGAAAGGAAGTGGGTTTGAGGGCAGTTGCAGATTGGCAGACAGGAAGTAGGCCGCACAGCAGGTTTCATCCTGCTGCCATGGCGATGGCTGCTGAGGGATGATGCCATTGGTTGCCCGTGTCCAGAGGCTGAGTGATAAATAAATGCCACTACATAACAGATGCCGGGAGGTGATTTTCTTTGCCGTCAGAGTGAAATGAGAATGAAAATGAACATCGACTGAAGAGCGCTTCCCCGGAAAAGACACACCGACTGACACAGGAAGCGCAGAGGAAGATATCGATCACCTACACAATCTTGTTCCCCTACGCCCCCTCGATTAATGCTAATGAAAAGAAAGACTCACTGTGAACTAAAGTCGGCACATGCAATTTC